TTACATGATATCTCCTAAACTACTCAACAAATTTCGAATAAATTTAGTGTTGAGGGTTCACAATTTAATTTTGGTCCAAGGCGTTTACAAGTACCCCATCCCCAATTTCCTATTCTTGTCTAAAAATGGCGGGAGGCTCAGGACACGAAAATGTTGTACATAAAATATAAATTTCATTAACAGATACAACTCATGTCCGAAACATTCTATTGGTTTGATATAGAACATATAAATACAAGGAAAACAGTTAAAACCAGGCAATACTTTACGTAACTTAAACTATTTCCCTATAGAAATGTATTAAGATGTAAAGTCTACATATTGTGCTTCATTATCGATTTAGAGATAACTAAATTAATTAATGAATACGTATGAATATGTGCACGCTTAAAGTCGGTAGTGTCGCTTACAGACCGCTTAATATCTTCACAGATCTCGGGGTCCCTCTCTGAATGCTTGTTTAATTAACCGATTTGCCTCCTCAGCTTTTACGGACTGAGCCCTCTGTCCTGTTCAAAATTAGAATTAACTTCTGGAACTATGAATCCCTGTAAGACATTTGGTAGGACTGGGTATTGGCCCTTAATGGACTTTTCTAAGTTACAAATTACAGCATGAAAAGTGAAGTTGTAGTTGCTCGTTTCTGGGAGTCCCTCGTTTGTATATTACGGTATTAAATAACTGAATCCTTACTAAGGATTTTAGTCGTATTCTGAGCCACGCCAAGGCCAAATACAGAACATTCTATGATCGACTTATCCTATGTCCCGTCTAGCTCATCATACATACATGAACACTATTATTTCTCATACACACCTTATTAACTCAATTAGAAAGAGTTTTACTTGAAAAGCTGGTGTTTACTCATGAGGTCAAAAATATCCCTACGTTTTGTGCACCTCGAAGGTTCATTGCCGTGTTCACAAGAGCCCGCCACTGGTCCCTATCCTAACTCAACATACACCGTTAACACATTTCTTCTCTTCGTATTTCTCAGTTAAAATGTTGTGAGTGTTTCTCGTCTCTCCCATATGTGTTACGTGCCCTGCTCATTTCATTTCCCAAATTTTGATCACCGTAATTATATTTGTAGAATATTTCAAAATTATAAAGCTCTGTCTTTCGTCACCTAGGTCCAGGAAGTTTTCGTTCGTAACCAGCCACACGATGGAACAGTGAGATTTACATATTTAAAACAAGCCATAGTTTCTGTGTATTTTAATCTCCGTGCGTTCAGATTGAAAACGGAACACTGGTTCTGAAATGAAACCAAGAAATCAAACTAATACATGACGATGTACAAGTAAGACCGGGAAAGAACAAAGGGTTTTTCCTTCTTTTTTTTTTGGCGTGGTAGATCGGATGTAGGCTAGTAAGCAACTGTCCTGAAGGTCGCCGATGATCTCTTGGGACTGTTCGTTATTCGGTAGATTGCGTCATCCTTGTTAGCCTCTTAACCTCGCGCTGACCACATCGGGCCTTATTCTAAAGGTCAATAACTCTTTTTTACGATATAAACGACTGTCATAGCTTCACTTTCGTCAATGGAGGTGACTCGAGAAATTATATCCGGGCAGCAAAATAAATAATTTCGGTGAAATTTCTTACTTTACAATTTAACCTATATGGCCACTGTAATTTGGAAGTGACATTAGAGAGCTCAAAAATACAAAAATTAAGGATATATGTCAAAGAAACCATTTTAAAAGAGACGTTTGTATTTAGAATTAATAGTATCAATGTAAATGAAAACATAACACAAATGTCTAATTTTCAAGATATATTTAAAAATATGCACTGAAAATTATGACGTAACGTTACAAGAACAAATCTTGTAAACTCGTTATGTACACTAGGTCTGTAACTAACTGATTAACAAACTAACGAATACCATACTACGGCGCCTTTACGGAACTTATGACAGTTTGTTACGTCATCAAAATATTTCGACAACTTTGGACAACCCAAACATTCAACAAGAAATACACTGCGCCCTGTTCTGAGCCAAATAAATCCAGTCAACACTCTATTACCAAAGACTTTTTTAATATTATCCGCTCATCCCTTCTGTCTCTCAAATAGACGTTTTTTCAACTGAAATTTAGTCCTGTACCTTCAGCATTTCTACTACGCGTGTCACCTGACCCACCCTTTCCATAACAATTTTCTTAATCAACACAATAATATCAAGGTAAAAGCGGAATTAATGAAGCTCATTACAAGATTTTCCTGTCTTCGTATTACGTCAATCTTCCTTATGCATGGGACGTGTATTTATTTTATATTCCTTCATCTCTTTCTATTCGTTCGCATTGCTTCAACAGGACAAATTACAGCCAATCTTAAGCCACATCAGTTCATACAATTCATTTGCTATCCGCACTCTTTCTTACCTTATTTTTATAAAGAGGTATCTTTGTATCTGGCCAATTTAAAATATCCTCGCTTATGGCCACAGATATGCATTGCGAAGAACAAAATTATGATGCCACTTCTTATAAATCCTCACTGCCCCTTGCCTTCCTCTTCCTCAATGAGATGAGACCAGGTCGCGTCTTGATCCCCTTCAACGCCACAGATTTTGTGCGTTCCATTCAACAGAGTGGAGATCCGTCCATCATCCATCACCGGACTATATAAAAATTGGAGACGTGTATGGAGTTGGGTTCGAACCAGCCACCCCAGACTATGGACTATTCACGCTGTGAGAACACCTGGTTCGGATCAAAATTCCTGACAACCTGGGAAACGTACCCGGAGCGTATTCCGGAATTTGATCGTTGACCTTTGTGAATGAGAGGGGAATTTTCCGGGTGGGGATTCCCGATCCAGCCACTTCCGCGCCCAAGGACGAGCGTAAATCTTTATGCAAGGACCACGTTACACTTATCCGACCTTAACTAAGAATGATGTGCGTCGACGTTTCAGTAAGACTCCCCAATATCAAATTTTCCTCTTTCGCTAGTTATTAAACGCATACAGACGTATTATATTCACTCGAAACACTACATAGACCAAGTGCACGCGGACCTTCGCGTTCCGATCCTGTTACACGTTGTATTACAATCCACTTCGACATTTACAATACTTGGAAGTCAAACTCGCTGGTAGCTACATAAATAACTCAGCAGGAGGGCAGGGAACCCAAGCAAACAGGTTAAATCGCGACTCCGTGTGTCGAAGAACAGGGGAAGCATGAGAGTGCATTATTAGCGTAATAGGATGAGCTTACCACAATGACGACGCACCAATAACAAGTACAGAAAGCACCCGCCGTTCGATGTGGTGCATTCAAGGGTGCCGAGGGATTACATATTATTGTTTTAATGAGCATTCCCGAATTTAATCTGCTATTTGTTGTTTCTATTAATGTATTTCTTATATATAACTTTGGTTTTTAAATGCATTAAAGTCTCGAATATAGATCGAGATATCGCTTAAAATGCTTAATAACGACAAACAGAGCCAATGACAGGCAAGAAAAAATAATTCTGTTAATATAAATTTCAATTATAGTCCTGCGTGTTTTAATCCGTAACTTTTAGACGGATAAAGGTTAAACTTGTTCTTAATTTCGTAATGATTACAAATTGTTTAAATTGAATTGAAATTTAAAATATTTCTCGGGTGTCTGTATACAGAATTTGCCACTTCCGCGTTGCTTGTTGATACTTCACAAGCCCAAACGCTGATCCGTCGTCTAAAAGCCCTTCAATGTCTGTCTGATGTGATGGAAGAGAAACAAATATAAATAGGTGATGGAAAGATGACACGTGAGCAGTGGAAAGACACTTAATCTGTGTGCCGTGTACTAACGTCATGTACAGTTCTTGTGGCATACGATCACCACTTGAGACCGTAGAGTAGGCGGACCATTTTCCAAACAAATTTTATAGAATTTACATGACATGAGTTTGCTCTCTGCAAAAGGGTACGGAGGGGGGGGGGGTGAAAAGATATTCCACATACCCTCATCCCTCCGTTTTATAAAACCCCCCCCCCCCCCCGAAGTACATGATATACAAGCAAGTAAAGTTGTGCATTAGGATCTCAAATTTTTGTTAAAATCTGTCAAGATATTGGAAACTTACCACGTCGAAGGCACACGAATTGACTGAACACGTTGTAAGACCGCGGTTGATACAATAACACCAATAAGTAACATTTCTAAATATATCCTCCAAGCCGTTTAAAAAATTTTAAGGTTTACATGCGTCATGTTTGTGTTTTGGATTAAAATATATAATAAAATACAGGTCAATACACAAAACTATATTTGGGTGTTAAAATTTAAAATTTAAATGTTAAAATTTAAAATTTTAAATTAGCGCTATTCATCACTATAAGGATGTTACATTTGAGCGCTTTCATTCATTTCACAACATGTTTCGATGTAATACATCATCTTCAGGTGTTGTTTTTATTTAAAACTATTTTATATTATAATGCATGCCTTTCAATAAAAAAAACACCTGAAGATGATGTATTACATCGAAACATGTTGTGAAATGAATGAAAGCGCTCAAATGTAACATCCTTATAGTGATGAATAGCGCTAATTTAAAATTTTAAATTTTAACATTTAAATTTTAAATTTTAACACCCAAATATAGTTTTGTGTATTGACCTGTATTTTATTATACGTTTAAAAAATGAGTTAGACTTTTTTTCAAGAAAAGTTTCGTGGGAACGGACTTGCTAAGTTCACTCATACTTGGGACTTACACTCCAGGATCACATTAAATAATCTATCTTAACGGTGTATCCGCTTACTGCAGAACTTCCAAACTGGAGGAATTTTTGGTGATGAGTAGCGTTACAAGTACAAAACACGTGAAGACAAGGATGTACCATGCGACTTGATTGTCCACAGACATTAAATTATTGTTAATCATACAAATGTCTCCATAGGTCCTTATGCTTAACTTAGAAATATA